TAGAAATGTCATATGCTGCCCTACCTGGTTTGGCTCAGTAGATAGATCTTTGGCCTGTGGACTGCAGGGTCCGGGTTCGATTCTGATCAAGGACATGTACCTAGGTTGCAGGATCCTCCCTAGCCGGGGCCCAGGTCAGGGCTCATGCAGGAGGCCTCTCGCATTGATGTTTCTCTCTGTCTTTCCCTCTCTCTTCACACTCTCTAAAAATCAATGGAAAAATATCCTCAGTGAGGATAAAAAAAGAAAGAAATGTCATATCTTATGAAAGAGACATCTTGAAAATACCTAAAGAAAGTTGTTATTTTTTCATGGTGAAGGGACTGGAGTCCATGTTGATGAAAACACCTTGGTGGCTGTGGTGACTGGCAGTGGCTGCAGCAGTGGGGTGATGGGGCTAGTGCCTTCCCCTGATCAGCCCAGTCACCTCCCACAAAGGGAGGCCAGACTGCGGCTTAGGCCCGCTCCCCAAGGGGAGCAGGGAGCGGGCCTAAGCTGTCAGTAGGACATTCCCTGAGGGTTCCCAGTATGTGAGAGGGGGCAGGCTAGGTTGACAAACCACCCCCAACCACGCAGTGCACGAATTTCGTGCACAGGGCCCCTAGTTAATGCCATAAAAGGTAATGTAAAATCTAAGTAATATGTAAGCCCAAGAGTTGTCTAGTCTTTGACAATCACTGTTCATTTATTGCATGTGTTTTGTTAAACACCTATTATTCCTTTACAAGATGTCAGGTGAAAATCTTTGCAAATACAACTGGTAATTGAACAGTGTGGTACTGGGAATAGGATAGACATATAAGTAAGTGGAACAGAACTGAGTCTAGAAACATACTCACACACATACATTCTTTTGAATTTATGACAAAGGTGATACTGTAATGCATTAGGGAAAGGACAGTCTTTGCAATAAGTGGGTCTGGGTGAACTGGAACTATGCTTGGGAAAACCCTAACCCTTACAAAAATCAGTTACATATAGATTGTGGACCTAAATGTGAAAGGCAAAACAAAGCATTTAGAAGGTAGTACAGAATAACATATAACTATAAAGAGTTTGGTAAATGGAACTTTAAATTAAACAGTCCTCACGAAAAGACACCCTTAAAGTAAAAATGTAAACCACACAAAGAATATATTTTACAATACATGTAAAGAACTCCTACATCAATCTGAAAAAGAAGAAAAATCAATTTTTTTTTTAATGGACAAAGATGTGAAAAGGCACATCACAGATAGTTACAAGCATTTGCAAAAGTGCTCAAAATAATCAAGAAAATGTACTGTATTCACTAGAATGACTAAGCAAACAAAACAAAACAAAAACCCTGACAATCACAAGTAGTGGAAGTAATGGTGAAGATACAGTGCAAATGAACTTTCACTCACTACTGGTAGGAAAGAAAACTGATACAACACTGGAAAAATGGTGGCAGTGTCTTCTATAGCTGAGTAGAGCTGTTATCTAGCAACTCCACTCCTAGGATATACCTCCCCAAAATTAATACATATGTGTTATGCGCTCATGGCAGCCCTATCTATCTATCTATCTATCTATCTATCTATCTATCTATAAAAGGCTAAGTGACTGACTGTCCGTCCATCTGACCAGCCAGTACATATGATGTGCACTGGCAATTTAAAAATAAACGCTGACTCACGCATGTGTGATACAAATAAAGCTCTCAACAATGTGCACGAATCTGTGCACCGGGCCTCTAGTTTTATAATAAGCCCAAACAGAAAATATCCCAAAGGTCCATCACCAGTAGAATGTGCAATAGAATATTTCACAACAATGTAAAAGAGCAAAGTACAGGTACATAAACAAGTTTAAGCAAAAAAAAAAAAAAAAAGCCAAACATAAGAGTGCATGAATTCACCATAGGACAAAAACAGACAAGGCATGACACCAAAATCACAAGCAACAAGGACAAAAAAATAAATAAATTGGACTCCAACCAAATTTAAAACCACTGAGCTTCAAAGAATACTATCAACAAAGTAAAACGATAACACATTCATTGAATGGGAGAAAATATTTGTAAATCATATATTTGATATCTGATAAAGGATTTTTATCCACATACATAAAACATTCTTACATCTCAAAAATAAAAACACAAAAAATGCAACTGAAAACTGCACCATGAGCCCTGCCTGGACCCTGTGGCTCAGTTATTTGGCGCATTGTCCTATATCCACAAAGATCTTGGGTTTGATTCTCAGTCAGGGCACATACCCAGTCTCGGGTTCCATCCCCAGTCTAGGTGCATGTGGGAGGCAACCAAGCAATGTGTCTCTCTTACATAGATGTTTCTCTCTTCTCTCTCCCCCTCCCCTTTCCTCTCATCCACTCTC